AGCTAACGAGCCCCGGGTCCCGCTGCCACAAGGGACGCGTTTCCGACCCTCAGCGAGGGGCGATGTCGTCGTCGGGAATCGGGTCCCCGTGTGGGTTCCGCAGGGCAGGGCCTCGCGGGAGGAGAGAGGCGAAAGCAGCCGCGGTTTTTTCCTTACCGGGATCGGCACAGAGGCAGGAGAGTCGTTGCGGAAAGATGCCGGGGAAAAAAAAAACGCAGAGTTTTATCACCAGAGAGGAAAGGCCGGGACACGGGCCGTGTGGAAGTGGGTGCCAGCCCGGACGCCGCTCCGCACAGCCGGTCATTCCCAGGGCTACACACTGCCTTGTGTAGGCCCCAGCGAGGCAGAGCAGGGGTCGTGGAGGATTTCCACCTCGGGAATGAGTTCCCGCGCACCAGGCTGCGTTTTTCTCCCTGGCTCTGGATGAGAAACGGCTCTGGTTCTGCGTCCAGCATAGGGATATTGCGTCCCCTTCCCAGGGGTTCTCAAAGGGTCATCTGCAGGATATCAGAAAGCCAGGGCTTTCCAACTGATGCAGCTTTTTCTGTAGGAGAGGTGATGTCAGACTTGTGTCTCCAAAGTCAGGATAACTTTATGCACAACCACATTATATATCAGTACAAAAGCCCTTTATACCTTTGCTTTCCTTTTGTTTGTGTGTTAACCTTGAGGCTCTCGGCACAAGCCTTAGAGGTGACGATCAGCAGGGAACGCCGGGGCTCTGCCGGGCCCGCAGCCACGGCGGCTCCAGCCTCCCCTCAAGTGGCTCCAGTGCCCCCTTGCGTGTGCTCGAAACAAGCAGCGCTCCGGCCTGCAGCTTGCAGGGGCGGGCGCCCTTTGGAGAAACCTGCCGGTGTGAAAAGCTGCCTCGCAAATAGCACTTATGTCTGTGGACTGGAAGCTAGAGCACGCCAGGAACCCCTTCTGAAGGGAGGGAAAGAAAAAAACCCAGTGACCCAGGAGGAGAGAGATTTTCAGATTGATGAAATCCTTTCTTAACAAGAGAATTTGAAGTTCTGTCTCACACCAGAAGAGAGGTGGACAAACTGGAGAGAGTTCATTACAAGGTTACTAGGGTGGTCTGCGTGCTGGTGGTGCTCATGGCATGTAAGGACGGGCTGAGAGTGCTGAACTCAATCAGTCCGGAACAGAGAAGGTAAATGGATGTGGCTGCAGTCACGTGCTGCTTCGTGGGGCCATGCTCTTTTGGGGATTTCACCCTAAGAGGAGAATCAGCAACAGCAACACAAGTTCCCAGGAACCACAGGCTGTGCCAGGAGAGTGGGGCAGCCCTGGCACCGGGCCTAGAGTAGTAGGGGCATCTACATCCTTGGATGTACCCAGCTCTCATCCAGAGAAGACTTTGAGCAGCCTGAGGGATCATTGACTTGAGTCCTGCCTGGAGCAGGAGACTGGGCTGATGACCTTCTGAAATCCCTCCCAGCAAAAGTTCTGGCATCCTCACCATGTAGTTTTGGCCAAGTTTACTGTGTAACACAACCTGTCTTGTAGCAGGAGTTAAGCTGTTCGTTTTAACTTGTGACTGTGTTTTCTTTTGGTGAATGCTTACGGGGAGGGAAAATACAGCCCCGGCTGTGTACCTCTGCCTATCCACACTGCCTTTGTAGCTGTGTGTGAGGGTGGCTGGATGAATGTCCCCCAGCACTGTCTAGCACCTCCTGGGCTGGGCAAGAGTACACGGGCTGCATCACTGCTGGGAAGGGGGGTCTCTTCGCCCTGCTTTTCTTTCTTGCACAGCTGAATGGGAACTTGCAGGGAATTTGCAGGGGAAAAAAATTGTCTCAGATGATAGCCCAGGAGGGAGGGCCATACAAAAGAAAGGAAAGGAAAGAAAATAAAAGAAAGACAAGACATTTGCATGGCAGTAGCAAGGCAGTAGCTATGAGGGTGTTTGTGGTTGCAGCTATGCAGGGCACTAAGGGTGCTGAGGCTCTAGTTCTGTCCTGGATGTCTTGGGGACAGTTTGCTCCACAGAATGTCCAGAATTTAAAAGGTCAGGACTGTTTAGTTGATTATTGCCATTATTTCGTATGCATAGTGCATCTAACAGCCCTTTACTACTCCGAGAGCACCTTAGTCACTTAGCACTGCACTGTCAGTATCTCCGTGCAGTGTGCGCTGGTTTCATGAGATAGTTGGTTGCACCACGAATCACTGCCCTGCCTCTTGCAATAGGAACGAGCAGCTGAAACCAACATACTGATTTTACAGTCATTCTCACCTTCCTCACAGGAAAACCTGGAGGCAGGATATCGTTTCAGAGGGCAGCCTTAGAGAAGTGAGATGAGAAGACCTCCACCGAGATTCAGCTGGGGGAGTTGCTTGGTTGTAGTTTTCCCACCTTGACAGAACGGTTCCATTCGGCCACGGAGAGCACGGAGATACTTCACATAACAGTGAGCAGTCACCTGTCACCTGCTTGGGAAGTGATGTCTGGTTGCCTTTCATGTTAGCCCCACATCTCTAGGACCAGAAAATTCCTAAAAAATATATATTTTTTAAAGAAAGAAAAACCACCAGAACCCTGCAACTCCTCCAAATTCATAATGGATCGTTTCTCTGATTATTTCCACATAATCTGTCATCTGTGTGGTGGAGAGCAGGGGAAAGTGTCAAACAGTTGTCACCTCCTTGATACTGCCCATGGAACGGCCGAGGCCGGGCTGCATGGAGGGCACCAAGGACCATGAGGCTGAACATTTAATTTGAAAATTGCCCTATCCCTGTGTTTCCTGCAAAATTTTTGAAACAGATGTGTTATCTCTTACTCAGCAGTATTTCCTGTGCTTGGTTTATGGTCTGTAAAAGCTGTTGCATGTCATCTTTCAGTTGTCATTCCTATTCTCAGCAGCGTGATAAAGTGTTTGGATAAAGTGTCTGCCACCAGCAGAACACAAAATGAAAAATGAATGGAAAATCAAATAAACTGGGCTGCACTTCAGAAGGGCTTTTACAAGCAGCTTCTCTGGGCAGAAGCTGATGTGATTGTGCCCCCTTTAATTAACTTTTTAATTAAAAAAAATGGGAGATATGATTTGGTGTGAAACAAGCCCATGGTCTGGCAAGATTTCTGTGGTGGTGTCCTTGAATGCAGGGAAACCTGTTTCCATTTGTGGTGTGGCCACTTTTGGGAGTGTTCAAGGCTGACAACAAATGTCAGGGGGGTGTACTGGCTGCAAACACTGTAAATCTTGATGATTTGTGCTGGCTCACATGTCAAAACCTATCAATTTGTCCCCTTTTAGAGTGGTCCAGTAGGAATTAGTGGATAATAAGATAAAATAATGATTCAAGCACACTATTCAGCATTTTTAAATGGCCCCTCTGAACCTGACTCACCCATGTTGCCCTTTCTACAGATAAGCAGAGGGCTTTGTTCTTCCTGCGTGATAAAGAAGAAATATTTTGCCATGCACAAGTGTACATGTGGTTCCCCAGCACCTGCAAACTTTGCATGCATAGCATAACAAAACAGAAAGGCTGTGGTAGGGATGGCCTGTTGTATTACAGGTGTCGTGACATCAGGGCTGCAATTAGATGGAGACCAGGAGTGGATGGAATCTGGCTTGCTGCAACACCACAGTGTAATGCTCAGGCAGCAATATGGGAGAAATGTTTATCTGTTGCTTTGTATTTTGTGTGCCACGCATGCAGCCTCCTCCCTCCAAGCGTGCTAAAGGCACCAGAGAGGACCACAGATCTCCAGGCATGGCTGCTGTCAGCTCCCCATTAACGATGCCAGCTGGCAAATTCATATTTTGGGAGGCTACAGGCTCTTCTCTGCAAGGTGCACTACTAAGATTTAGTGATCTTAGTGCATCCTCTAGGGCTTCCTGTACTGCTGGGTTTTGCTGAGATTGCCTCTTGACAGGGAAGTTAAATACAGACTTACCAGCAGGGAGAAGTCGGTAGGTGTCACTTGTTGCAAAACTGATTCTTGTTAATTCAATAGGTGTTACAGGCTGCTTTTCCTTGTAATGTCCAGTGTTGTCACCATGTGCTTGTTTGCCACACGGCATCAGGCTATGCCCAGTTTGACAGCTGCAACTTCAAAAATGGGCAGCTGCGTATCCACACGCCAGGAACGTGGCAGGTGAAATTGTGCACCTTCAGCCAATCCAGCATCCATTTCCACAGCGTGGAATCCTGGAGAACTGTGAGTTCACTGGGAGGGAAAATGCTTCAGTAACTGTGGAGAGCTGCCCAGCCTCTGACTGGAACTGGGCCTGAAAGCACCTCACCAGACTTGCCAAGTCATACTCAGTTTCCATGCAAGTGCCAGACCCAACCTCTTGTACCATGACCAAGCAGGAACTCTGGAGGAATTCACCAGTGGATACAGTGAAAACACATGAAATGACTGCTATAGGGAAGGAACAAAATAATCTCCTTTCTGCTTCAAAGCCTGAAGCCTTGTAGGCTCAGCCAGCAAGGATGCTGACTTCAGAGAAAGTCTCTGGACAGCAAAAGAGGAGGAACACCCAAGCCTTGGTTCGGACACTGGTGCTGTGTCCTTTCCTATGCACAGCTTGGTTTAACCAGCCCAAGTGAAAGGCAGTTTGCTTGCTGCCTCGTGCTTTCTGCCTGCAGTAACATCAAAGTGGCTGCTGGAGGCATTAACTCAGCAGCACATCAGAATCGTGTAATCAGACATCTCAGTTCCGCTCTGTCCGTGAATAAAACTCTCCAGCTTTTAAAAGATGCCCAAATTATTCTCACCATTGTGGCTCTCAGCACCACAAATTCAGGGCCCTCAGAGGTGCCATGACAGTCCCCTAGTCTCTAATAAAGCTCATCTCTCTTTGCAGCCCGTTCTAACTGCTCCAGGAAAGCCTGTGGCGATCTCTGTAGCAGATGGAGAGGCATAAGGTAAGATTTTTGTCTAGGAGCATGAGGCTGGTTGCTAAGACTTGAATATCTTTACTTCAGAATGTTTTCATCTGACCCTGAATTTGGCCAACACTTTCCACCTCTTTATGATTCTTTAGAGGTTTTTAATCCACAAACAAGTGTGTAAAAATGCAGAGATGGTGCTGTGTGGCCTCAGCTAGTCCTGTATGGCCAGCTAAAGCACTTCAGTAGAGTCCAGAACTCTAATGATATGAACATACTGGCCCATAATTCTACTGACACTGACTTGGACTTCTACAGAGGTGTTGGGCAGGAGGAAGATAATTATTTGTCCTGGAATTCGTACAGTTTACTGAAGAGGGCCAAAAAATCAGCCTTAAGGTAATACACTGCTGTTAAAAAAAAAAGCCTCTCTGTGATTGTCACAACAGTAGGCAGAGATAGCAGAGAACAGAGTTGCCTCAGTATAGCTAGAAAAACAGGTGTGAGTCAAAGGAAAGTGGGAAATGTTTGGTCAGAATCTTTAAGCAGCCTTTTTTTTTAACAAGCATTTCTTTTCTCTCACAAGAAGTTTTCACCCAGCAGAACTCTGCCCTGTTCAAAAGCAATGTTAAACCATCTTTTTGTCAACAAATCTGTGTTTTCTAATGTCAAAATATTACTACGGGGCTCAGAGGATGTGTAATTCAGCAGACATAACATCGCTTTCTTCCCTACTGCTGTCTTCCCCATCAGCGTACATCTGCCAGGAAGCATTAGTTTAGTATTCCACTTGGAAGTACATCTTGGGAGACATGAGGGGCCCAGGGAGCTGAACTGATGAAAGAGATGAAAGAGAGTTGGATCACCTGAGCTCTTCAAGGCCTATAAGGCATTGTTAGAATGAAGGTGTTTTCGTTTGGAGACAGACTGTCTTAAATTTTCTTTAAAGGGAAGCTGTGAAATGTTTTTCTGTTCAATTCTGAGCAAATGTTTTTATTGTGATTGTGCAGGTGTTCACAGTGCCAGCAGAAGGACTGCAGAGCGCTGCTGGCAGAATTGTTTCGTTTCTTGGCAATAGAGAGTGGCACCATTTTCTCGGAGAGGTATTCCACCAGCAAATTCCTTTCCCAGTGGGTGCTCTCCCCTCTGCTGACTGACAGCACTTGGTGAAGTTCCTGGCGTGTTGCTCAGCCCGTGTGAATGACTCGTGTGCTTTTTCATGGGACTTCTGCTAGTGTGAGGAGCGCTTCAAGCACTTTTGACCTTGTCCTTTTTTATTCCTCTCAGTTCACTCACAGTTTGCTCAGCAGCATGATTTTAGTTGGCAAAAGAGTGAATGGGCATTAGGCCAGGTGCTGCTCTCGGTGAGTTTGTGTAGCTAGAAGTTAAGCCTAGAGGCTTTCAACTGAGGAATTGGTGTATTAGAGCTTCAGACTGTGGAACTCTGAGATCTCTGGCCTTGTAAATAGATTAAGGAGTAAAGCAAATTGGGAACACTTAGTGGTTACATTCTCAGAAGGGACAAAGCTTTGCTCTCCTTCCTGAGCCAGGATCCTGGTTCTTTGAGCCTCCATCCTGTGATGAACCTGTGCAAGGTCCAGTGTCAAGAACCTTCTGGTCTGTGTTGTTCACAAAGTGGGACATGCAGCAGCAATTTGCAGATTAATTCTCACCACACACAAGGTACGAGTTCGTTTGATTGAAAAGCGCCAAAGATAGCTGCTGCAGATATATTTAACTACTTCTTTGCTAGATGAAACTAGGTTGTGATGAGAATGGCAATCTTTTCCATTTGCTTGCTGGCTTAGTTCTGCCTCAAGTGGCACAAAATTTGCTCTGAAGGTGCGGTATGATACAAGCTGTGTTTTGAGTGTGTGTGTTGTTTACCCAGTCAGCTTCATCAGAGGCTTTTTGGCACTCAGGTTTGTGTGTCTCCCCTCTGAGCAGTTAAACGCATTTGGAAAGCGAGGAACCAGGCATTTGCTGTGTCGATATGGAGTAGTTAGCATGGATTCATCAATGGGAAATCATGCTCTAATAACCTGATAGTCTGCTATGGTGTAATGTCTGCATGGGTAGATGAGGAGAGAGCGGTGGATGTCGTCTATCTTGACCTCAGCAAGGCTTTTGACACCGTCCCTCACAACATCCTCCTGGGCAAGCTCTGGCAGTGTGGGATAGATGAGTGCACAGTGAGGTGGATTAGAAACTGGCTGGATGGCCACCATAAGACTCGGTGGAGCTTTCATACTTTTGGGAAGCAATTTAGCTCTCTTGGTCTTGACACCAAAGTAAGAGCCATCTCTTCTAGTGGTCTTCAGAGGTACTGCTATACCTGAAAGCCTTTAAAGTGTAAAACATGCAACTCAGCTAACAACTGTCACCTAAATCTCAGCGACTCACATTATAGGCATTACTCAGAATAGGTCTTTCTCGACCAGGACTCTGCAGCACTCATCTTAGGAGGGACAAAATGGCAGGCCAATCACCCTTACTAGGGCTGGTGTTGAGAGGTTAGCTCTTTTCACCTAGAAATATGACATTGCCTCTGCTCTCTGGAATATGTTGCACTCTAGGGTACAGGACACAAATTAGACCATGTATGTGGTCCTTGAGGGAGATGAAGCTCTTGTCACCTGGTCCTCTAAGTTCCAGGGACATAAAAACAGAGTGTAGTAAGGAAGACTCTGGGCAACATATCCAGACCCCTTAGCCCAGCAGCTCTTTCGTTAGGTTTTCTGGCCTGTTTAAACAATTCTTGAGAGTCCCTGCATTTGTTTAATTCCTTGCCTCTCCCTCTGCAAGTTGCTGTCTCCAGAACTTGAAGTTGCTCAGAGGCATTGGCTGGGAAATCACTGAAAACAGTTCTTGCAGTAAAACAAGGCATTCTGTCTCCAGTCTCAGACTGTTTCTGTCCCATTTGGTTATCAGAAGAGAACTTGGATGAAATCTGGTGTTTTCCCCTTTTCTCAGGCTTGGTGTGGAATGTATGCTGATGAACCCTCCAGCACAACCTCACATCCAAGAAAACTCCCATGTCAGCCTCCAGGTCTCCCTGTCAGCCACCAGTCAGCAGACTTCCAAAATAACCAGGATGGATGGAGGCTGCCACAGCCAAGAGAGTATCTTCTGAGCTACTCTTTGATCAAGAAGAAAATTCCTTCACTTGTCTCTCCAACTTTTTCTCCACGCAGAATATCTCACAGTTCAGGGGCAGGGAAGTCTCTTGGACCATACTCCCTCTCTGAATCAAAGATTCTCACAGGGTCAGTGGCACTTTTCCAGAACAGGCTCTTCCTCTTTGCCCACTGAGATATTTGCTGAAGCAATTTATATGCAAAAGTTGTTCCTTGAATGGAACACATTAATAGCAGGGCCATCAATCTGTCTTGTTCTGCCTCCCTAGAAGCTCAGAGCACATGTTTGTCGAAAACATGAACTCTAGTTCATTGCCAAGTTTGTAGTGAGAGAGGCCGTACAAATCACTGCAGAGAAACACCCAGCACCCACAAAAGCACATTCTTACAGAAACAGCACCGCTCCCCTATCTGTTTATACTATTCTCTGTCTGATCAGGATGAAGGTCTTGTAGTGGGAAATACATACACATTTACAGTGTGAATCCCTCCAGAAGCTGAGCTTAAAACTTTCCACATATCTAGTATCTGCAGGTCTCCCCAGTTACCGGCACCTAGACATGCAAGTCCCATAGTCTGCAGCTCCATTCCCATTCTTGGTAGAACACCCACACATGCAAACGCTGTGGTTCCCTGGTTCCGCTCACCTTGCTCTCACCCATCCTATGTGCTCTCTCACATGACCATGAAGAGGAGCAAAAGAGTTGTTATAGTCTTTAAAAAATAAATAAATAAATAAAAAGCACATATATAGAAAAAAACCCAGCAGTTTAATAAAGTCAGTATCTGTCCTAGTCAAACAGGAATACCTGGGGCAAACCTGACAGGTAAAAGTGCACACTGGATGCTCTGTGTGCAGGACTGCAGCCAAGAAAGGAACTGTTTCACCCCTGCTTGGGCTTCGGACGTTATTTTATTTCATCTTCTTGCGCTTCCGTTGCCCCCCTGGTGCTTTCTGCACATTTTTTTTAAAGAGTTGCCAGCTTGTGGTTCTGGTCCGGCTCAAGTTCTGGAGGCCCCTTTGTTTTAGAGACCTTTAACCGCATGGCCTTGGCAATGTCCATCATCCTGCAAAACACCAGGGAAAGACCATGTCAGTGGGATGACTGGGACAGGTGGCACGAAGGGCAACTGACCTAAACAGATACACCCTGGAAAGCACTGTAAGCCCACACTGCCTATCTCAATGGCCAGCTAACTAGAAAAGTGCTGCTCTCCACTTCCAAAGGGAGGTCAGCAAACCTCCATCTCCAGCATGTCTGTTCTTCAAATACAAGTGCTTCCCAAGGCAGTCATCTCCTGTGCATGGCAGGAGGGAGGAAACCTGGCACAGCTCAAGAGCCTCTTCACAGGTGGACATCAGCATCCCAAGCTGAAAGTGGAGGAGCTTGGCTGGGATACGTAACAAGAGGCATGTGGGCAAGACAGTGCAGACCAGAACACACCAGGAGGCCTGTCAGAGAAAACCAAGCACCTCTGAAATCAGTAAAAAGGGAAGTAAGTGTTCTGGGCTTACTAGAATCCTCCCAACTTAATTACATCCTTGAAATACAGAAGTATTGAGATAGAAGCTCTATATAATGTCCCATTCCAAACTGGGATTATCCTAAAGCTACCTCGGCTGGTTTAGGGATTGTGTCATGCTTCCATTTTCCCGGCAGGTCCCGGACTGTTCTCACTGCTATTGCCTGGTGCTCTCATCCCCATTATAATACTTAAAAACAAAGCATGGCTTCTTTCCAGATAGCACGCTCAAAAAAAAAAAAAAAAAAAAAAAAGAAAGTGCTATTTATCTCACTATTCTTGCTTCAAAAAGCAAAGACCAGAACTGGGGACAAAACCAGGGTTCATTCTACCAATGGTGACGATCAATCAATGTGTCAATGCTCGACAATCATTTCCAAACCCAGGCAGTGACTAAGCCTGGCTTTGGAAATTTGATAATTTCCAGTTATCACAGCAGCTTCACATTACATTCCTTGGGCAGAGACTACCTACAGGATTCTCACAGCAACAAAATCCTGCAGACAGAAATGTCTCTCAGCAATAGAAAAGCACTGCACTAAAACAGCATCAGTCCTCACAATCCTGTTGGGAAAGACCAATGTTGTTGTGCTGTGAAGCACATGTCGTCAGAATCATCATCATCCACAAAACAGGATGGGGAGGGAGAGAGAGATTTATAAGCACAGCAGAGCTCTGATTTCCAATAGGACAATCTGATCCATTTTGAGGTCATATTAGTGATCTGCCTGCTGACCTAACGTGTTTGCTGGGAGATTTCCCAGCAAGCTCACTAGACTGTTTCACCAGTTCCAATCAATTCCCCATTTATTCTGCAGGGGCAAGAGAAAGTCCAGTGCAACCAGCAAGGGAATCCGCGCAAGGCCAGGGAGCCTGGAGCTGGGCACTGATTGACACCTACTGGTAAAAACACGTCTCCCTACAACATAAACTAGATGTAAAGCACTTCACAGTAAAAGGCTAAAGAGCAACTTCCCAAAAAAGGGAAAAAACAAAAAGGCACCAAAATTGGAGAAATAAAACAATCTTACTGGTGGCAAGCCAAGGCTTGCACAGTTTGTATCCAATGCAATGGCTCACCTGCTTTCTTGAAGCTTCATGTCATTTTGCAGGACAGTAAGGTCTGTTTGGAAGTTGTTAATGTGCAGAGCCAGTGCAATGACGTATGCTGTGATTTTAGCCTTCATGGATGCAGAGATTAAATTCTGGATGCTGAATGCCAACAGAAGGATGTGAAGCATGGAGTTTCAAAACAAAACAAAACATGAGATACAGACAGAACTGGAGGCCTGACAGGCTTCTTTGTTCTCCTTACATGACCTTTATGTTTCTGTTCAAAAGTGCAGGATTCTGGGGTCACTAAGCACTCTGTGGCCTTGATGAAACCACTGACAAATGTTTTTTGTCAGGCTCTTCAGCCCATGAGTGCCTCACAAGAGGAAAGTGAAGTTGTTTTGAGCATCTTCAGTATAACTGCAAGAAGCTCTTTAAATACACTACCTACAAAGTGCACATTCCTGGCTGATAACCCTACAGAAGCATTTATTGGCTCTTCAATGCCCTGTCCACAGACCACCACAGATGGGCTGAAAGTGCTGGATAAGACAAGGTACTTCAGTTTCACATTTTGGAAGCAAGTACATGCCAGCATTTCCTGGTAACACCTCCACAGCTCTTCAACCTGAATTCTGCTATCTGAGCTCTGTATTTCAGCTTCAAACACAAAGTAAAAACTGTTTCTTACCTGCCATTGTTATAGGTCAGTAGAGTGAAATTCTTCATGAGTTTCCTGCTAATGATGTGTGGACATTCAGGGCCCATTGGATCTAGGGCAGAAAGGCACTTAGCAATAAAATGAGGTACACAGACTCTTCATTATACAGGTTACCTGCAACCATCCTAATGACACATTTATTATTATAGAGTTTATTACCTCTTTCTAGCAACACAGAAAACGTAAAAGGAACTTGGGCATTTGATATATGTTTCATCAACTTTCAGATCAGATCTGTCAGATCAGACAGGGCCTCCTAACACCTTTTTCTTTTCTCTTCTGCAAGCGGGACTTCCCACTTCAGTACTGGAAAATCTGAAATAAATTTGCCTTTGTACACCTGTATACACAACTTTTATTAAATTCCTTGCCTACAGTCCTGTCAGAATAGATAATTAAAACAACATTAACAGTTTTATGCTGCCACCTAGACAAGTCAGTTTCACTTCTAATTCAAACCTCTCTGACTAACTCCTACACAGTGATCCTCTACCTCCCACAGTGCAGGAGTATACTTACAGGCAGACTTATCACTCCCCTTTTCCCCTGCCTACCTTAAAAATCCTAACAGTAACATTTTCAACACTAACAAGGAGACTCCTGTGCAGGATAGCAAATTTTGAAAATCTAAAATGAAATATTTTCTTTAGTGATTTTGAGAATTCATGTTTTAAACCAAGTCCCAGCAAGGAGTTGTAAAGGAGAGGGAAGACTTCCCACTAATGCCTTACGTTTCTTCTTGATCACTTTCAGGAAGCTGAACTTAATAAGAATATCTAGGAACCAGAGGCATCGGGCTTTGTGATCCCTGCTCTTCTCATCAGGAGGCAAGAACTTCAGCTCCTCCAGAACAAAGGAGCAATAGCTGCAGAAGAGAGAGAGAGGGAGCATGAGCATTCAGCAAACCACTGGAGTTCTGAGGCCTGTGACAGAGAAAAGCTCATGAGGCAGCTCTATGCACACACGTTCCTGCCAAGGCTCACCACGTGCCACCCAGCCCCTTTCTGCATGCAGCCTCTCAGGCTGCTCCACGACCCAACAGACTGTTAAGTGATGACTGACCTCAGCTTGTCAGGACACAGGAAATTTCTGGTCAGTACTCAGCTGGGACAGCATGCAGAAACCATGCCCAGAACAGCTACATGCTCCTCCCTCCTCCAGGCAGCTGCCTCCAAGCCCAATTATGGATTTTTCCCTTTCCTCCCCTGCAATCCATTCCCCACAGGACAGCCACCCTGCTGTGTTCACATCTTCAGCCATAGAACTACTATGCATTTTGCAGGATGTGCATTCCCCAGACGCAGGTGCTGCTCAGTTAAGCTTGACAAACGCCCTCCATCTACACAGAAAAGATCAGCTTACGGACAGCAGAGCAGGTATCCATTCTGCCCCACAAAACCCAGAAGTCTTCCTGAGCCAACAATGACTACTAGAAGAATGCCTGCAATATTACCTTTTCTCTTCTGTTTTCTTAATGATTTCCTCTGGAGTTATGTTAATGAAGACTTCTGCTGGAACCCGCAGCGCTTCATACTCTGCAGGGGAGAGAACTGGAAGGATTTTAAAGAAAACAGCAAGTATGCTGTTGTGCTCTTTCACAGTCTGAACAGCCTAGAGAGACAATGCTTTATCTACTCTTGCTAGGAAGGGTGTAGGCCTTGGAGAGCCTACAGGACAGGACATAATCACAGCACTGTAATGCTGGCCAAGCATGAAGATTTCCTAGGGACCGTGGCTCAGTCACAATGCATTTCTCCTGCATTTCTGACTTCCTTATCATTCCTAGCTGAACTGCTCACGACTGGGACAGAATTCTTTTCTCTGCAAGGAACAAAGATGTGGGACTTGCAAGCCCAGAACCCCAGCACAGCACATCTCCTCTCAGCTTTTGGCTCAGGAAGAAGACACACCTGACAACATCCATTAGCACCTGGCAGACCATAAAATCACAGAATCACAGACTGGTTGAGGTTGGAAAGGACCTCTAGAGATCATCTAGTCCAACCCCCTGCTCCAGCAGGGACACCCAGAGCACGGGGCACAGGCGGGTTTGGAGATCTCCAGAGAAGGAGACTCCACAGCCTCTCTGGGCAGCCTGTTCCAGGGCTCTGGCACCCTCACAGGAAAGCTCTTCCTCACATGGAGATGGAACTTCCTGTATTTCAACTTACACCCATTATCCCTTGCCTTGTCACTGGCCACCACCAAGAAGAGTTTGGCCCCATCCTCCCTACATTCTCCCCTCAAATATTTGTACATGCACATGACCATTGACATCTAGGCTTTAACATGTGGGAAACCACACTTTGGCACAGAAAAAGATACTGTCCTCAAATTTGTAGACATCTTCTGGTTTGTCAGCATCTTCATGACATGGAGGCAGGAAGATAGAAATGTTCTGTACGTCATCTTGGGCCACATCCTCGATCAAAGCTTTAGAGGGAAGCAAGAAAGAAGATGGCATTTGAAGGAACCAGACAAAAGCACTGGGAACACAGCCACATAACAAATGCTTTCTTTGAATGTACTCTACTCGGTGGGGCTTTTGGTTGAACACCAGTAAAATTACAGCTGGAAGAAGCTGAATTGCAGTTTTAGACATTTATCTGACCTTTGATAAAGTGCTAAGGAAAAACTAATGGCGCTTTACTCCATTCTGCCTCTTTACTGGCACCTCGGCAGCATTTTGCTGAGCACCAGTTGAGAGCTTCAGAACAATAAATAGAAACTGAAAACTTCTAGTAGTTCATCAAGACAAATCACTTGCTGCTGCAGCTCCTTATGCCTGCAGGACAGATAGGAGAGCATGTTTTTGGTGCTCTTGTTTCCACTTGGCACCCATTTGGCTCAGGGCAACTTTCAGAAAACTGCAAATATCCAAGCTAGAACACAAAGGATGGGAGAAAATTGACTGGTTTTATAGGCAAGAGAGGTTTCTCCCAGTCAATAAAACGTGGGTTTGCAGAAACACTGGTGGAAGGGAGCTCTGGAGGTTTCCAGTCCAACCTCCGGCTCAGATGAGGACTGTGCTCATCACTAGATCAGGGCTTTGTCCAGCTAAGGCTTGCAGGTTCGCTAGGCTTGCAGGTCCCTTGTCCAAAGGATGAGGCCCCTCAGCCCGGCACAACAGCAGTTGATGTGGCTGCAGCCTGGCTTGGGACATAGGCCACTCTTTACGCTGCTGTGCAACAAGGACACAGTTCACCTCACTGAATACAAGCGTCTCATTTCAGGCCTAGGGGACTTGTCTTCATTCAGATATGCAAGGACTTGGCAACACGAGCTCCCAAAAGTGTGTGCAGACACTGATGCCAAGGGGACTTTCTTTAGCCAGGCACCTCTTACATTAACTCCAAGAGGACCAGAAGCAAGTAGTTCTCGGAAAGATGTGCCATTCTCCCAGCACATGCCCTTCTCAGACGTTCAATCTGCCACCTCCTTGCACACTTTAAAGAAAAAAAGACTTCTCCTTCCCACCACCTCTACTCTGCACTTACAAAGAATCTGACAGGAAGACGTCCTTCCGACTGCCTGGGCTACTCCTGCTTCTTACCAGTTATTCCCTTTGTGTCTATAATGTTTGCTGCTGCTTTTGTGACTGCTGTGCTCAGGATGTCACTCCCCACTGCATTCATTCGCCGAGAGCTCAGGGCTCGCTTCTGCTTGCTGGTACCAAAAGCCTCAATGCACAAATCCATCTGTGTGGGAGAGAGATGCAAATTCCAAGAAACTGCTGAACTCAAGACACGTTGCATGCACAACTAAAACCCATTTAACCACTACCAGGTAGCCCCATAACTACGTTCTCCAAGATGATTTTAAATAAACCAGTGGGTACAACCCTGAGATAAAACAAGCACTCATCAGTAAGGGAACAGAAATTTCCAAAACTAAAATAATTACAGTAATACTGCTCAGTAAGGCACTAGCTATGTGCTGTCTCATAGATCTTTTAATGCACACAGGAAGCACTGAACCTACACACAGGTTTACACTGCAGTGGTAAAGTAAATATATGAATCTCTCACAAGGATCATCTACAGTCATTAGAGGGATAACCATGCTAGAGTGTCATATGTGTTTTCTACTTTACCTTCTCCCTGTAGGACTTATTCTGATAATCCTCTCTTTCATCAGCTACTAAGTTATCTATAAAAGAACGAAAATTAGTAGGTTTAGCTTGCAGCAACCAGGAAGACACCTGCATCTGGTAGTCCTCCTTCTCTAATTCATTACAGGAAGACTTGGCACATCACATCAAGATCTCTTTCACAGAACCTCTTCAGTTAGAAGAACGTAAACATATGAAGTATTACGCAAATAGAACAAAGAAGAAAAGTACTGGCCAATTTTTGTTGTAAAACCCAGGTCCTGTGGTATATGAAGGAAATGAGCTCCAAAAGGCCCGTGACCTTAGAGTTTGAATTACCCTCCTGGGGCACACACTAGAAACCAATCTGCTGATGGAAATGTTCTGTTTGTTTTGGTAGTTCGGCCCCTAAAGCTGGTTCTTTTGGACTTCTCTTCCTCAGTAGGACATTCCTAGACACATCTGACCAGAAACAACTCTGTCACCAACTCTGGTGATGCCACCCTTGCTCCCTCCCACCCATCATGCTTTCTGTTTAGCCTCCATCGCAAATTTCAGCTGCATTTGGCTGCAACCTTGCTCTCCCCTCTCTTATTCTGTACATCACGCAGCACTTTAAAGCAGTATGTATTCTCCTCCCTCCCTCCTCTATTTTAAGGTTATCAGTCAAAAAATGAGCAACACAGAACAACCAGGGGAAAGTATGGACTGCTGCTGTGAGCTACCACGTGCACACAAAGCGCTACTGCACCGTGACTGTGGTGCTAAGGTTCAATACAGGGCCTTTCTTACCTGACAACCATGGCTGCATGTTGAACAATTCAGCATTGTAGACGTCCATTTGCCCGGTATCCTTGTCTAACACACCAATGAAGTACCTAAGCAGAAGACAGGAGCAGGTGATTAGCAGGAAAGAGCCCAGCATGATGCTGTTACGATACTATAGTACAAAGCTTCAGGTAGTCCCCATCCCTGCCAATTCTTCTGCCTTGCAAACATTGATTTTCCAAACATATGTAGGATTTCACAGCAAGTTCCCTTCAAGGCACACTTGTATAAGGCCTTGTTCTAATACACAGATGTGGAAGCCCCAAAACAATTAAATTAGCTTCAAGATGCATCAAGTGGAGTCTCCATGTGTGAGTGATGATTTCTGCTCTTTTCTCTCTTTTGGTCATGATGCTTGGTTTCTTAGTGCTTCTATGCAGTTTCTTGCATTTTCCAAACTTCTTCCCTGTGGCCAGTTCTCTGCCTAGAAAGAATCACTTTGAGCCTAAGTCCTCAGAGTTTCACAGAAAACATTACTCTGATTTCTCTGGAATGGAATCACTTTGCTCCAGACAGTCCACACGTTACAGAATTGCAGAATAACAGGGTTGGAAGGGACTGTGGAGGTCCAATACCACCCTGCTCAACCCCTGTTGCCTATGACAGGCTGTCCAGGACCATATCCAGTTCAGTTTTGAGGATTTCCAATGATGGAGGCTTCACAACTTTTCTGGACGACATATTCCACTGTTCGACCACCCTCTCAATAAAGAAGCGTTCAGAGAATTCAGGTAGAATTTCTTCTGTTTCCACTTTGTGCTCATTGCTGCTGCTCCTGTCACAGCATGACAGAGAAGGGGGCCTGGCCCCACACTTTGTGTTTTTCTTTCAGTCTTTGTGCTTGTGCCTCTTTCCTCCCATGCTTGCCTTAGCGGCACGTGTGGGAACTTTCTCCAGGGAATCCACTCCTGTGGAAGGGGTCAGCTGGGAAGACTAACAACCTTTGCTGCGGGTATGGGTTCAGCATCAAGTCGCAGTTTTGCATTAGGTAGGGACAGATGTCAGCAGCTCCCGGGGCAAAAGCAAGGATCAGTTAGATCATTAAAACTACCTGGGGGTGTACCAGGGCAAGGCTCTGCTACCAGCTCTACCCACAGCCCGTACCTGCAAAGGGAATTGCACTTCATAACACCACTGCCAAAGTTATTCCCCACATAGGAAAGCCTTTCGGTTTCTGAGACCTGAAAAACATAGAAAAATGACCTTAATGCAGGGCCACCTGCGAGCAACCTTCCATACATTCATTTTATTTTCTCTAGTGCAGCAAAGCTCTACACTCCCAGGCATCAGATGTCAGCTACAGTGTAGGCAAAGTACACTTTGGGAGCTTTTTAAAGTGCCTTTTATTAAAAAAAAAAAAAAAAAAAAAAAAAACAAGTATTTATTCCCTCTTACTATCAAGCAGAGCTGTTTTTATTACTCAGGTTTCCCCTACCTTACCTGCTCACTGTCACTCCTATCTCTAGCAGTCAGGAGCCAACAACAGTACTAGAACTTCTCTAAACGTCCCTTAAACATATCAAGATAGAGACATTTGTTTGTCTGTGTGGGGGGGGTAGTCAGGGGGAGGACCCAAATTCTGATCATTTTAGACACACGCTTCAAAACGTAAGCTCGTACCCTCACTGTACTGTCATGAAACCAAATAGACCAGGAACACAAGAAATGGTCAAAAAAGAGGGAGAGAGGTGTCCCAGGTATTATGCATATCTTTGTACCTGACAAGGGTTTCTAGCTCCTATTCACAGAAACTACCAGCACCAGAGCCCTGAAGAGAAGGTGCAAAGAAAGAACCCAAAACCTCTCCGCATGCAACAGGATGATGGATGCACCTACACCTGGGCATCTGGTTAAACCTCAGCCTGATCCCCAAGAGCCAAAGCGGAGCCTGGGCAGGGAAGAAAGTTGAATATGTAGCTCATTGCAGACATATGCAGGCCTAAGTGTTACACATGCCCTGCTGTTATATAAAAGCTGAGGCACGATAAGGGGGTAACTTGCTGGAATGACATTTGCTATGGCCATGCGCTCAAACATTGGGTGCAAGTGCCTGTTTCCGGATTTTTCCGGCGTCCCCTCCCAGCAAGAGCCCCAAAGCACCTCTCCGGGAAGGCTACCGAGGAGCAGCAGAGGGTCCTACCAGGAGCCTGCGGTTCCTCCTGCGCGGCTGGGTGCGCTCCACGTCCCGGTACACGCTGAAGCGCAGGTCCTCGTCCCTCTG